TTCTTAGCAAGTCCACAATTACCTTGCTTATGGCACTTGAGTAGCTTCTTCGAGGTAGCACAGTTCGATCGCCCTGACCTCTTTGCAATTTATGGTTTACCGCCTTTCTGCAATTTCATCCTAGCCGCATGAGACAGGGTTCTACTATAAATAATTCGTGCAACTTTTAAGTTCAAACCATGTTTCGCTATACATGATGACAAGGGTAACTAGATCACGAAAAGGTGAGGCGTAAATCACTAAAGATGTCGTCGATATTACGGCCATATGAGGATATTATTCAGATATACAAGCGTCATCTACTCATTTTCATCGACTAATTCTCATAGGGCCTCATGAACTGACGTACGTTTAAGTTTAACAAACTCTAGCGGAGTGAAATTTCTGTCTGACTCAAAATCTCGATGCTTATTAACTTTTGCTTAACAAAGACGGCTGTTTAAGCTGAAAAGATATAATAATAATCTTACTCATGTGGAAATCGCGCCATTAAACGAAAGCGTTGTAATTTTCAGTAATGTACGTCTGAACTTGCGCTCGAAGCCTTTCGCACGCAGTTGGACAAAACCGACGAGCCCTGGTTTCCCAGATTCTTTCACAGGTTATTTTCCTTTTACGTTTTAATTACACGGTTGTTATTGCTGTATTTTAAATTTCCCTGAAAGAAATAGGTCAATTTAGAAAATCAGGAGTAGGCCGAATCGAATTCTTCACTTATTGCCAGGATACGAAAAGGCGTCAAATATCAATATAGACTACAGTACTGTTACTGGCTAATTGAATGTACAGAACTTAGATGTAAGGAGAAGGCAAAACAATGGAAATAGCACTAGAAGCTCGTTTCTACTTTTCAGCACTCAAAATAAAGTTCATTTCCGAACGTAGGTTTCGCTGAATACCTTCCTGCGGATGTGACTGAAACAGATCACAGCAAAACAAGCAAGGCCTAGTGTAAACAAACTGGCTTAAAACAAACATGAAGTTGTGCACATGCATTAGTTACAGTAATGCAAACACATATCGTTCTATGCAAATGATTGTGAAACATGCCCATATTACGAAATATATGTAAATCACTAAATTTCTTAATGAAATGTTCGTAATGGAGGTGTATATCTTTGTCACTCTTTGATTTCTGGTAAATGCTTGATCATGAAGGGCGGTAGAGCCTAGCTTAACACTGGGAACGCGTTCAAAATTTTATAATGTTTATCCGTTTACAATAGAAATATCGACTGCGAACTAAGGTCAAACATAATAGATCGATTTGCAGGTCAGCCAATTTGTCCCTGACCCTCTGAGGTAACTGAGCAGCGAGGGAGTAACCTGAGGCATCGAACTGTGCAATTTAGCTTCAGGCGGTGTTCCTTTCAACTCAATGACTTCTCCTGGCTGAACTGAAGCAAGTGAATACAGGTTCAGTGAACGACGGAAAAATTAAAATAATAAATAATCCATTATGTTTCGAGCAGCGAAGTTCCTATGTGAAAACGAAATCGATTGGATTATTCACAACCCTGTCATCAACCGTTTCGAAACTGCTGCTGGATTGGCAATGTTTCTAATGAAGCTGACTCATCAGTATTTGCTCTACGCGTACGACCGTAATACTGCATTAAAATTTTTTTCAGCATGATCCGCATTCAGGCAGTAAAGTCCATTAGCTTGTGCTACGGAGGCTACTCTTTGAAAAATGGTCAGCACGACGACAAACTTTCTAAACTTGCTATTAATCTTATGCTCATTGCATATTCATGCAAATTTGGCGATGCCGCCAAAAATTTTGTAGCTTAAGACACTGTTGGGATACTGATGATGCAATACTGCAACAGAATATAAGTGATTGCGACAGTCAGTCGCTCTTAGACTTTCACTGAAAGAACTAAATGATGATTTTCAAAAGTGTCTTGGGATCCAAAGTCAGGTGGAGAAGATCACCTTTTAATTTTAAGACGTTTCATAAGGATGTTAGCAAGCCTCAGAATTTAACTCGCTGTTTGTTTCTCTATGTTGGTTTATTTCCTTGGTGATTTTAGCACCTTCGAGTCCATTCTGGAGAAAGACCGTACAAATGCGCGTATTGCAACAAAGCATTCACGGCTTCCAGTATTTTACGCACCCATATTAGGCAGCACAGTGGCGAGAAACCGTTCAAGGTAAGACTTAGTTGCACGGAACCATTAAATCAGGTTGATGATTAGCCTTTAAAATGAACTGTTTGAAACTTGGTATTTGAGGTCAGCTATCCTCATTACTATATATAGAAAATAACTAGTTTTCTGGCCTTGACCCTATTTAACAGCACTGCTCTCGCTATTGTTTCGACAAAAGGATTTTAATGTCAATTTCAAAATGTGTTTCATATATCGACTGTTTATGTTGTCCTGTGGAGCGTTGTTGAACCACGACCCTGGCACAGGCGTCGGTCAAGATGCATCGCATTTTCTATCAAAGCGCGAATCTCAAAATCATGAAAAAAAGGAAAGACACCAGACCATAATTTTAATGGAAACCTGTAAAACACGTGCCTGAGAGTTGACCCAGTGTCAGAATATTGAGGCCGCTAAACAAATTAACAAATCTGAAGTCGCTGATCTTCCACCAAAATAGAGTTTTAGATGTGAAGTAATGAATGAAAAGAACTTAGGGGATTAAAAGATACTGTATCGCTGAAAACTAACCGAGAGCAGAATAATAAATGGTTCAATCACGAAATGTCACTTCACTGAACCTTGAAGAACTCAGGTGTTTTCTGCTGCGACTAATCAGTTTTTCTTTACCCACTACTGTAAACTGTGCCTTAGAAGAGAAGCATTCAGGCAACCGTCACAGAATGAATGGATGAGATCGAGAAAGAGAGCAACATTCTTTAGGGGTTTGCCCTTGGAGCGAGTCAAACGCAGAGCTGCAGTCAGACAGAAGCCAACGAATGGAACAATCCGTTTGATTGAGTTTGCTGTCCTCAAGGTCAGCAAAGGAGAGGAGAGCACCAGAAGTGCTGCAATTAGTTTTCTGGCCAAACTGCCGTGATCTTAGACGATGAAGATGGTTTTTTTACGAAGGACAACAGCAACATTTTCATTGCTTTCAGTACAGTAGCTAAAATTTCAATGGGACGGAAAAATCTGTGCCATGCTGAATGTTGAGTTTGAGGAATGGGAAATATTCTGGAGTGCGACCATGTGTCTAGAAAGCAACCATTCCGTAGGATGAAGTTAAACACAGAAGCAAACTTAGAACAACTCCTTTGAAAAACACTTTAACACGACTGCTTCTGCACCATTCGGACCGCTGGCGCGGTGAGTTTGTAATAGCGAGAAGCTTTGAATACCTGATGAACTGTGAAAACAGTAACTGACGCCACATTCGTCGTTGGAGGGGGCAGATGGTAAACGAACCAAGGTGGTCTTCAATTCTGAATCCATGACAAGCGATATTGGGATTTTCAGGATCAAACGCTGTAAATGCAGCAACCGCAATGCATCTAAAGCTAGCAAATGTTTCCATACCTGCCTAGACATTCTTGCGATGGCATGAACGAAACAACAGGGAAGAAATCGATTTCATTCTTCATGTCGTTTGAGGTCTTTCCCTGACTATCGTTTACTCGCATACTTGAGAAAATGTTCATAGAAAAAAATTAGTTTTTTCCCAGCAAACTCCGCTATTCGATCACCGTAGTCGCTCCTTTCACCGTAATCAAATCGCCTGCACGGTTTTCGTTGCCTTGCTGCTGCCAACTTAGGCATTGAGAGCACTAATGATGAACTTGCAATGGCCTTTTCCTTGTTTATACACTTCCATTTCTTGGAAAATCCTCCAATCTCTTCCTCAGGATGGTTTGGTGTCAGCGCATTTACATGGATCACTTGGAGTTCATACCTCTTTGAAATCCTCAGAACCAGTTATGCACACCTCTGCGTGCTGTTCACGTGCACTACATTGTTCGTTCGTTCTCCGTGGATGATGAAACATACTTCCTCCTTGCTTCTACTTGTTGACCCCCTGCGGATCGGTCCACTTTTATGCTTCAGCAGCCTTTCCTTATTTTTTTCTAACTTTGTTGAATCCTACAGTACCCCACTTAATATTCCTAGATTCTTTCAACTGTGTGATGAAGGCTTCGTAAAATCATTCTTTATCTTGCGCCCAAAATCCCTGAATCGGAACTTAGATGTGTGCAATTAAAT